TAGAGATCCACCTAGGATAGTGCACTTCTCTGATGGCTTCTGCCTCTAGTAGGTTTCCCACTTCCTCCGCCACTATCTCCGCGTGGTGCAGTGCTGACCTGCGAGTGCGCTGTATAATTGGCCTGGCATTTGGGTGGACATTTAGTCGGTAGAAGATGAACTTAAGGTCAATGCCAGGCATGTCATATGGCGTCCAGGCGAACACTTCGATGTTTGAGATTAAGAATTCCATAATCTCAGTTCTTTCAGTGCTGGATAAAGACGAGTCGATACAGCAATAACTACTTAGTAACTACCCATTTCTTCCATCTTCATTCTTGTCTTGCCATGTGTCATTCCACTCATCCACTTTGTCCTCCCACTCATCCACTTTGTCCTTCATATTCTCCATTATCTCTATAACTTCTTTTAACTTCCAAATGAATAAGAGGATGCCACGTGTCCTGCAATTATATAAATAATAAATAATAATAATAATTGCAGATTTATGGTGTTAACAGTTTGATTTTCAAATTATGTTTTCCTTCTTCCTTTTCATCTTTTCCCCAAAGAATCTACAAACTAATTTAGTGAATAAAATGAAAAATAAAAAATTTAATCATTACCGTATGATTCTCCCTTATTTTAGGAAGAAAATAATTTCTAAAGATTAAAGAAAGTCTTTTTGTATTTATTTTCATAAAACCAGTTACTATTATTGAAACATATCCTTAAAAGGTTGGAAACATTTTGGAAAAAATCGATGGAAAAAGCTAACAAAAATAAGACAAAAAGAACCTTTAAAAGTTAGTCTATTTTTTGTTTTCAGCATTATTTTTAATTTTTAAGATCTTCTAGTTTGAACCAATTTATAAAGTATAAACAAATTGACTCAAAGTTCAAAAAAAAAATTTGCTAAAAGCAAAAACAAATAAGTCAATTTACAAGCTGAGCAAAGTATCATTATTTTGTATGAGGTGATTTAGTTTATTATTACCTTTAGACCGAGATGAACTCATCATGCACATTTTTGTATCACTGAACGGTCTTAGCTCCATTGAACGAGAATACAGTGACATGCATGACACATACAGCGTTTGATGTAACTTTTGATTGACAACAATTCTTTCTCTTCTTTATTTATTTTTTTTCTTTTTTTCTTTTTTTCTCTTTCAGAAGTGGCAACTCTACTATATGGAATCATCAATGGAATTTTATTTAATTATTTTTATCTAATTTTGTTGCCACAGATCCTTGGCTCATAACAGGATTAGTAAGATTCCATCTTCATTACAAAATTTGTCCAAGCTTTCATATATGTAAGTTGTGTAATTATGTTGAAGCATATTTAATTTCAATTTACGTTTTAAATATATGTTCCCTACCTAACTAAGATCATCATGATCATCTCATCATCATTGTCATGTATAATGTGTAAAACCCTAACAATGCTATGGGTAATAAAAATGAACATGTTAGGGTAATTTAACATTTATGATGCATGTAAGGTTTTATACACTAACATTGCCTACCTATGATGAACAGTGTCCTTGATGATAACTTACTGGGTGGACACATACCAACTTTCTTTAGTCAAATGAAGTCGTTGAGCTTATTGTAAGTTTGCATCATAACTTCATCGTTCATTGGTTTAATATCAGCAAATTAAATTCGAAATGGTCTATCTCTTTTTTATTAGTGTTTGGCATTTAAAGATTACCTCATCTATCTATCTATTTTCTATGAGACATTTTACAGTACATAAACTCTTCTTTTTTTTTAGTGGAATGCACAATATGGTCCATCTCTTTCTTCTTTTTTTTTTTTCTATGAGACATTCGAAATGATCTATTTAATTTTTTTTTTGATCTTTAGTTATGAGTTAAGTAATGCATAGTTATGACTCACCATAATTGTTGAAAATATTTTTTAGTTATAAGTCATTATGGTTTATGATCATGATTATGACCTAATGAAGTTTTTTTTTTTTATTATTATTATTATGACTAAAGTGGTCCGGTGGTGCTACATGCACCAATTAATGTACACAATAGTATAACAGCTAGTGTTATGATATTATTATTGACCACATTTATTATACAAGTTACAAATATTCAAAACCATACAAATGATGCCACATCATTTGTTAGTATATTAATGTGTACATTAATTAATACATATAATATTATTCAAAGTGGTTATTAGTTGTGATTCATTGTGGTGTTTTTAGTTATGAATGAATGTAACTTTTTGGGTGAATCAAAAAAGTTTTGGGTGAAAGAATGAATGTAACTTAGTTATAACCGAAAGTGATATTTTACTTATACTCCCAAAAAAGCAGCGTCTATTATAGAATTTTGGTTATACAACATCCAATGGGAAATGAGGTAATTTATTACCAGTCAATGGGAAGTTTTCAAACATTACATCACAGGTGGAAGAACCAAAATTAATTACAAAAATATGAAATCTTTTGGTAGAATTATGAAATTACCCTTGTCGTCTCTTTTAGTTTTTAGAAATAACCCTAGCCACTTCTTCCGTCACTGCCATCACTTCCTCCATTCTCCTTCACTACTCCTAACCGCCTCCCCTCACCCTAGTCCTCTCTTACCCATTGTGGCCAGCCGTGCCCCTTCTCCACCCACTTCTGCCACTCTTCTACCTATTCTCTTGATCTATGCCACTCATCTACTCACTTTCACCACCCTAGATTATAACCACCAAACCCGACACCCTAGTCGATATCCAAACAAACTAACTGGATAACAAGTAGCGATTAGAACCCATTCAATGGTAGTATAAACAAGTGTGGCTGGTACTTATAAAGATTTATGTGCATCGGAATATATTCAATTTGTTTACAATCGTTGGATTGAATAGCAATGGGCGCAAAATAGTTATTCATAGTTAAAACGGTAAATCTAGAGATATTTGAAGAGAGTATCTAATACATAACAAGTCCACAAAACTCCTAAGAAGAGGAAACATCCATGGGTCACGGGCAGCTATGGAAGTTAAGAAACATAATGTGCAGCTTCTTGAAATACAAGAGACATTAGCACCATTACTAGAACAACAAATAAGGGAAAGAAAAGGGAAACAAGTCAACATCTTCTACCTCGTGCCTACTGTTTATGTCTGAAAGCTGGTCATCTGCAAGTGCCTCTGGAATTTTCTTCCCTGCGTCCTTCCATTCGGTGGGTTGAGATGTACACTGATCAGATGTTGATTTAGAAACTATTATTTGTTCCTCACAAACCCTCACTGGGTATAATGTACCTTTGCACTCCAGATATATGATATGATTTATAGACTCCATACTTGACGTGGCTATCTTCACCTTACCACAATGAAGCGAATTAAGCCGAAGTGTATCCTCATCAATGGCGAGCACTACACCCCAAGTTTCCCCAATGCTACTAAATATTTTAAAGCTCCATAAATTCAGCGGGACTCCATAGCAGCTAAGCCAGACAAATCTTTCTTGTTCAATAACCAACCCTTGTCTCCATTCTTGGACTGAATCACAGCAAATATTGAGCCAATCCTGCATTCTCTGAAGTTTGGCCTTCATATCTGCAACTGATTTGAATGAGAGAACCATATCTCTTCCACCCCCCCATCTGACCGTTACTTCCCCAAATCCTCTCCTAGCAATGTCCTCCTTAAAAGTATCCATTGATGAGGATGCTTTTAATCTTATAACCACACTTTCATACAACCAACCATTACCTTCCTCATACGCCTTAATGGTTCGGATTGCTTTTGTTTGAGCTCCTTTGCCACTCACAACCTCAGCAAAAGATCTATTCCTTTGATGACCATCAATATGTGTGAGATTAGCAGCTATGGCTTTTCTAGACTGTGGTACTTGGTTCGGTCTAGGTTGTGGACCAGACGCTTTTCCAAAATCTGCCATCTTAACTCTCAATGCTCTGTCATCACACCAAAGCCCATGTGCCTTTTGAACGGCTATGCCAGCTGCTACAGAACAATTATATCTTACAAACCCAAATCGAGATCTTGTCATCTTGCGTCTCTTATTTGGGATGAAAACATCAATGACTCTCCCATAATTAGAGAATATGTTGTGTAGCCCTCTGGATCCCATGGATTCTGGAAGATTATCCACAAAAATAGAGTGTATATTTGTGACTGACTTACTGATCCACTCACGCCGACCGCGATGCCGACGAACCACTGGTTGCCATCCTCTACCTTCAATCTTGTTCATGGTGTAGAGTTTCTTACCCTTCTTAGCTCACAAGATGATTATGACACTTGAACTCTAAAACAACCCAATATATACAAGATTTGAGAGTAGCTAAAAGGTCGAGATCATAGAGAATAACTTGTTACCATTTCAACAAAGAATGAATGGACCTTATAGAGAGCATCATTGCCAATATATGGTTAGAGATGGCCAACAGAAAAAAACCAACAATCTAGTATCTCTTAAAGAAGAATTTGTGATCTTGAAAACCCACGAAAATTTTATTATAAGCTAATGCCTCCAATGGAATGGTATAAGAAAAATGACTAATTACCCTCCACATGAGCAAAATTTGGGAGGAAATGATACTATAGTAAGACTATCTATGAGGTTAGCAAATAATCAAGCATTCAAACAAGGACTCGAGGGTGGGAGAAACCAATTAGGCAAGTAAACGAGAAACCAAGAATGATGGAAAATATTCCACCTCCAGTGCTCGAACAACCACCAGTGGTTGTAACACCTACCTTACCAATAGATAAAATTGTTGGTCTCATACAAGATATTTATGGAACTATGGCTTACAAGGGTACAATCTCTAGTATATATAAGACAATATGTTGAGTAGGCAAATAGGTTATATGAATTCTTGAAGGGATTTAAATTTATTACTTTATTCTTAGGAAGTGAAAACCAGTCAACCATTGAACACATTGAAGGTTCACTGGACAATGAGGGAAATTTGAAAGTAATGATTGCTTAAAACTTAGAATATTCCTTATTTCTTTGACTAGAGCAACTTTCACGTGGTTTACTTGTTTGTTGCTATAGACACCCTATTTTTGATTGGCCCTACTACTGGGGGGCTCTAACTCGAAGCTCCCGATGATGAAAGCAAAAACCGTTTTAAGCACATGTGATGGATGAGGAGAGACAAACCTTCCTACACCTGTTTTGGCCAAAGAGTTTTCCAAACCTTCAAACCTATATTTTTTGAAATGCTTTTAAGGCAAGTGGTACCTTTTCGTTCATTTCATCCGTTATTAGCATTATATTTCCAAAAGCTGTTGACCTATTTTTCAGAAAAGAGAGCTTAGAAAGTCGGAACTAATGAGAAGACAGGAAGACCTTTTGAGAAAAGTAACGCTGAACAATGCTTGGTCGGCCGGACAAATTTAGAGAAACACGACAAACAACATGGGTTAGAGTGAGCACGTTAGGACCACTTCAGTCCTGGTAAGCACGCCCAAACCGTTCGTGCTTTACCATATAATTTTTTGAGAAAACACGACGAACCACTCTTGTTCAGCCGTACAAGTCTTGTCAGACGAATGCCAGCTAACGTCAGCCAAACAAATTTCTCATGAGGTGTCTCCTGGCATCTTGGAATATGCCATTTGAATCTTTAAGGATCAAATGGTATATTCTAAGCACCCCAAGCCCTTTTAGCCCCCTTCTCTTAAAGGATTAAGGGTTGGAAAATTTGACATCCATTGAGCATAAAATCTTCTGATATGAAAATACTTTTGGGGTGGGGTGTGGGTATTCAAATTTGGGGTAGACTTGATATGAAATGGCTTGAAATATGAGATTTTTCAAACATTTCAAAAAGAGTGTAAAAACCCCTTAAACTTTAGAAAAATGTGTAATTTCAAACTATGGGGATTTGAATCATTTATTTTGTGGAATTCATTTGAGTAAATCTAGTGGCACAAATGTCTCGTGCGCGCGCGCCCACACACACACAAAAAAAAATACAGTGTGACACTATATAAATCCACATTGTTTCACATTAAACATGCTATTAAAAAAAATGTAACATTGTGTATGTCCACATTGGAAATGGCTCTCCTCCATACTCTTATCCTCCATACTTTATTTTTTGGGCTCCATTCTAAGCCACATTGATAATCTAAACTGTTCATCTCGTAATCCCAACAATTTAGATGAGTTATGCAAAAAATTAGTTTCATCCGATTTCACTAGATATATGAATAAATTGCATCTCGTTTTTTAAAATTGACAATAATTGTGAGTTTAAACTTAAACCTTTCATTCAATAAAAAAAACAAAAAAGAAAAAGTGATTTGTAATGCTTTGAATTTCTCACAAGAACATGCCAAGACAAACACAATAATATACCCAAAAAGTCATCTTTCTCATTGAACTAAGAGTTAAGGGGTTACAATTCATCATGTACATTTCCATAATATCCGGGGTTCACATTCCAGTTCGATGAACTAGATGGCCTTACAAAATATAAGCTTCTAGGGCATACAATAACAACAGAATAAATTTGATAGTCTTGTTACAAAATTCCCAATTTAAAATAACAAAACACCCATGAATCAACTTTTCCAAAAAGGGGCTATTGCTTGTTCCAATCCCTCAGTGAGGTGGTACTTCATCATTTCTTGAAAAATAAAATAGGGTTGAGCTATTTGCCCAGTAGGAATGTATTTGACCAAGTATTTAATCACTTGAATAAGATTATGGTATCCTTGTGACAAAAACAATACAAGGGAGTTTGTCTTCACATGT